GCCGCCAGTTGAATGTCCCTGCTCTAGGGCCCGTCTTGTGTGGGATTTCTCCTCGTTTTCATTCATTCAGCCTTTATTTCTACAGGTTAGTCTCACTGAGCCTCAAGGACTCATTTACAAGAGAGACCTGATTTTAACAAAGAGTGATGACAACAGTAGACAATTATAAAAGAAAGCTTATAAATTGAAAAATAAATGGAAGAAGATATTAAAAATACGAAATAAAAACATCTAGGTTGTAACGGATGTCGAAAACTAAAAACAGGAACATTGGTTGTTGCCATGAACTTAACAGCTGTTTGAAGCCACTTAGAGAGGTCAAGGTCGAGAGCTTTAAATCTTTTTGTAAGATATTCTAGGAAACAGGAGCGGAGGAGGAGAAGGTCTTTGTCTAGTTCAGTTCTCACTGAGGGAACACTGCAGGTAATAGAGTCCTGAGGGAACACTGCAGGTAATAATGTCCTGAGGGAACACTGCAGGTAATAATGTCCTGAGCGCGCACGCTGTAGCTGCACTCACGCAGAGACATGTAGGAGGAGATGTATGAAGGCAGCAGACCAGGAAGTGATTTAAAGAGAAAATGTATCTGTGGGAGAGTCTGCATGAAGTTAATGGTGACCAGTTAACAAGTGAATACAGGGTGCAGTGGTGGGTACATTAGTTACAGCCAGTTATTTTCTGAAAAAGAAACCCAGTTTAACTTTCAGTTTCTTTACCAAGTTTTCCACATGGAGCTTAAAAGAGAGATGCGAGTCGACCAAGATACCCAAATATTTATAGGAATAGACAAACTCGATGGGGACACCATTAAAGGATAAAATCAGAGGAAGGACTGCTGGGACCGGCTTGACTGAAGAAGTCTTCTGGATAAACGCAACGTTTCAAAAAAGAAGAATCTGTCCAGAGGGCCTGACTTAACTTTGATTCATCTACCTGGATTATCGAGCATGCTTCAGGACAGATTAGGTACAGATGTACTGTACATAGAATGATTATTCCTGAAAGTTTAAGTAAAATCTGTCCAGTCCTTCATGAAATATTTGCTATATACAACTTTTGTAAGATTTAGTTGAATTTATTTTTATTACAGACACAACTAAAAGCTAAACGTAAATTAACTTGTGCTATCATAATCCTTGGACATTTAAAAGATTATTTTAGACAAGAAGGCATTTGAACATGAAACCTACTCAACAAATGTTAGTGTGGTTTTCTACTTTTGGTTTATCGTTGTGCTACTTGTAGCTTTGAGTTTTGGCTTTTTGTGCAAAATACTTCAGCTCAACATTCACACTGCATTTGTGCAGAAAATGTGACTTCGGTAGTTTTGTGTTCAAAATTTGCTGCCACTTTTAAAAAAAACAACGTTGCCCAACTGGACAAACAATTAGCAACTTTAAGAACAGATATTTTAGTAGCTTCATGTAACCAAAGTATCTTTTACTGTGTTCAACGTCTTTTTCTGCAAAAAATAAAAAACCTACTTGGACAAAATCACAGTTTCTTGTTTCATTTATCATCTATAAACACCACTGTCTTCCCCTCAGCTTAAAAAGACGTGTCTTTAGTTTCAGCTACGAGATGATTTATTATTTTAGGGACAGCCTGCAGCTTAACTTGTCGTTAAGAGTTGACTTTTTTGTTCAACTTCAGTGTTTTTCTAGCTGTACCTTAATGTGTATCAAAAATGTACATTAGTGTCGTTGTTCCTACTGATACCAGTAAAATGAGCTCAACAAAATTAACTTTTAATATTTAACCTTC